CTTCCTCAAGCCTTACATATAGGTAAAGGGGATAGGGTAGTTGCCTGGAAGGACTAGTTAGAATCAAGATGCTTAAGTAACTGAGATAAGTATAGCTAAGATTAGATTAATGCAGTTGGTAAGACCTGTGCATAACAGCAAATTAACAGATAATAAAAGAGTTAACAACAGATGTGAGAACTATGTTTGAGTCCAGTGGCACCTTTAAGACAAGCAAAGTTTAATTCTGGGTATAAGTGAGAACTGAGTGACTTAGCATGTGTAGTGAGGTAAGAACCTGATATCTCTGTTGAGTCTTGGGGGTTCCATTGTCCTTAGTGTTGTAATAACCTGTAATCCAGCAATCTCCCATTCCAGTCTGTTTCTGAAATTTCTTTGCAATAAAACATCTACTTTGAGTTCCCCATTGAGTGCCTGGGAGGTTGAGACATTCTCCTACAGGTTTCTCAGTTTTGTGATTCTTGATGTCAGATTGGTGTCCATTTATCCTTTGGCATAGGGTTTGACCTTATGCAGGGAACTGAAGGGCATTGTTGGCATTTATTTATTTATTTATTTATCATTCGACTTGATATACCGCCCTAACCCCCGTAGGGGTCTCTGGGCGGTTTACAATTCTTGGGTGCTAGTCACCTATATCAACCCTAACTACGGCCACATCAGTTCAAGGGGGGGGCTTCCTACCGGCACCCTGGTGGAGGCTTGGTGTCGTTCACTTTTCCCGGCTCGGCTTCTTCTTTCGGCTGTGAGATGTCCCAGTGCTTAGGCAGACAGGCGGATGGATGGATCGCCGACGACGTTGTCCTCAGCCCGACTGTGGCCTTCCCGCTCCGTGCGCCTCCGGTTGACGTCACTGCGCCTCCATCCTCCGTCGACGACAGCTGCCCTGCTCTTCCGTTGCTGGCCACCAGGGATCAGTCCCCTTCTGGCTCTGCTGCTGCTGCTTGCCGCCTTCAGCATTACCCAGCCTCCTCCTCCTCCGATCGTCTGCCGCTGCTGCTCCGCTGCTCCGCTGCGGCCGTCGTTCTCGCCATCGCCGTTGCTGCCGCTGCTTCTCCACACACACCTCCATGGGAGGAGGAGGGTGCCCCCCACCCTACTAAGGATGGGTACCCATTTATCTACTCACCGATAGGTAGTTACTTGGCTTTCGAACCGCTGGGTGGGCGGGAGCTAGGACTTAAGGGTCGAGAGCTCACCTCGACCGCGGTGGGACTCGAACAGGTGCTCGAGTTGATGTTAATGCAGGCGTTATACTGCCTGCGCCACCGCTCCCTTTAATGGCATAATACAATGTTAGAAGATGTGCAAGTGAATGAGCCTGGAATGGTGTAATTGATGTTGTTAGGTCCAGTGATTGTGTTGTCTGGGTGTATGTGGCAGCAAAGTTGGCATCTGGGTTTATTGCAAGCTCTGGTACCAGTGTCCATGTTCAAATTAGATGTTGTATTATTGTGGGTGAGTTGTTTGAGATTGGAGAGCTGTCTGTGGGCAAGAAAAGGTTTGCCCCCAGTACTTGTGAAAGAGAACTGTTATTATCCACTAGAAGTTGTAAGTTGCTGATAATGCATTTAATTTTTCTGATTTGAAAGCTGTATGTGACCACTAGTGGTGTTCTGTTGTTGTCTCTTTTGGGTCTGTATTGCAACAAATTTTCTCTGGGTACCATACTGGCTTTGTTAATCTGTTTCTTGACTTCATCAAGTGGATACCCTAGTTCCAAAAAGGTTTGTCGTAGGTATGTTTGTTGGGCAGTAGGTTACCAGTATAAAGTGGAGTCTAGGCATCCATTGTGTATTTTTACATTAGTTTCCAGAAAATGTATTTCTTGTTTAGACTGGTTCATTGTGAAAGCTTCCTTCCATCTGTATTGATGCTTCTTCCATAACTGAAAAGGGCATACCTACTGTGGACTTTTTAACCTACTCTTTCACCTGTTCAAGCAATATTTTCAACTTTTGGCTCAAATCAAAGCAATGTTACCTATTAAAGTAAAGTTTCTATTCAAGCAAACAAATTATAAGACCTATGTCAATTAAATAAAAAGTTACAAAATATTATTCTCATTACCTTAGCTCTAATAATAAAGGGCAAATCCCACAAAATAATCAACTGTGAGAGATGCTTTAAGCTACCTTTAAAACAAATCAAGAGTAATTTTGGCTCACACACACTACTGCAATCTTACAAAGAAACAATTGGTTTCAGAGGCTCATCTTCAGATGCTTTTGGATACTAGAAAATAATTGGATTTTCCTTTCTTTGATTATTACTGTTCCACAGATCACAAACACGGGTATACTTGGGCAGCCAAACTAGTAAGAGGTTTTGTGAGCTAGTAATTTCCACAGATGTTATAAGCCTGTAGTATTCCCAACTTGCCACAGAAGCTTCCTCAGAAATAAAGCCATTTCACTTTGGTTACTACACTGGATAACAATAATGACTTTACACTGTGGCTCATCCCCCTCCCCATTCTAACCCCCAGAGTTAAAAAAACATACGAAGTCATCCGGCGACCTACTTCCAATCATCCCCCCCGTTGCCTCAGACAGGACGTTCTCTGCCGCCCTGGAAATTATCAATTGAAGCAGCAGCACTTCCCCACTTTATTGCTCCATCACTATAAATAGAAGGTTCGGCCCATTATTCCCCTTTCAGGGATGAGCGACCTGCGAGACTCCTGGCTCGCCCTAAACTACCCTCACAGTTCGTTAGTCGAACCTAGGATCCAAATCAGCGCACCTTCCTCGGGGTAGCTACCTATCCCCGGACTCCAAAGAGAACAACCACTTGCTCGCTGCCCTCCCCCCGCTGCCGTTCTAGGCAGCCATACAATCTGGTTACCAAGTCCCAATCCATCCCCCGCAGCAAGGCGGCCCTCCAAACGCCCCTTCGACTGCCCGCTCTCTAACCTCCACGGCATCTGTCACCAGTCCCATCGGGCGGGCCGCCACTCAAGTCCATCCTCCTGCCGTCACCGTCTACCTTCCCTAAGACGAGTGTCAACTTCGCGTTCCCTCTGCTCTCGCGCCAAACCGCCTGAAAGTGGCGCGAGAAATGAGACCCAAGTGCCCCGGCTAGAGGAATAGCCAATCAGAAGCCACGGCAGTGTTTCCGTCCTTCCTATTCCGCTTCGGGGTTGAGGAGGAAAGAAAAGTGGCTGGATGGCGCCACAAGGTTGTCACTGGGAGGGGCGAAGGAAAAACGTGCGCGCGCCTAGGACGGCTTCAGGAATGCGACGTAGGGGGGGTGGGGGGGGGGGGGGGATTGTGGGATTTTGCACGTGGCTATTTGCAGAGGCATGGTGAATCTACATTGGAGTGTAGGTAGCACAGAGATGTAGGTTGTGAGGGATTTAATTTAGAAGAAAGTTGTTTATGAATGAAGTGGGGATTTTGACATTTGAAATGTATGGGAAGGTTAATCTTATTTACGTGGAAAGGGCCTCCGCCCCTACAATTACTTGGATTTTTCCCCCAGGGGCGCTTGCACCATAGAAGAATTGCCAGAATTTTATCGGAACGAATCTGCTCCTTTTGTCCTAGCACTAAAAACAGACGAGTAGTTTTGTATGTATGTTCAGTCGTTCACATCTATTACTATCAATCACGTGTAACTTATTGTAGTAAAAAGACTAAACCTTTTCTATAGCGCCTCTGTGTGCAATGGGTTTTAGAGTTCCTGGCCGCAGTGCAGCTAAAGTTAGTCATAATAGGGATGTACTAAAAGGAAGGACAGGATTGCCCATTGGAAACAATGGGAGAGACTCGAAGGGCCATTGGAAATAATGGGAGCCAAGAATGCCAATTGACTTCCATGGGCTAAATTGAAATACGTTACAGCTCAAGAAGAGTTGCAAAGAAAATGTGGAATGGATTTTCTATTAAGGTCTCTGGTCCCAAATACACTGCTCTGGGACTGGAATGACAGGCCCCACAGTGGAATGACAGCCCCTGGAGGTAGCAGGTGTGTTCTGGGACTTGAATGACAAGCCCCACAGTGGAATGACAGCCCCTGGAGGTAGCAGGTGTGTTCTGGGACTTGAATGACAAGCCCCACAGTGGAATGACAGCCCCTGGAGGTAGCAGGTGTGTTCTGGGACTTGAATGACAAGCCCCACAGTGGAATGACAGCCCCTGGAGGTAGCAGGTGTGTTCTGGGACTTGAATGACAAGCCCCACAGTGGAATGACAGCCCCTGGAGGTAGCAGGTGTGTTCTGGGACTTGAATGACAAGCCCCACAGTGGAATGACAGCCCCTGGAGGTAGCAGGTGTGTTCTGGGACTTGAATGACAAGCCCCACAGTGGAATGACAGCCCCTGGAGGTAGCAGGTGTGTTCTGGGACTTGAATGACAAGCCCCACAGTGGAATGACAGCCCCTGGAGGTAGCAGGTGTGTTCTGGGACTGGAATGACAGCCCCTGGGAGTACCAGATGTGTTCTGAGGGTGGAATAATAGGCCCCACAGAGAAATGACAGCCCCTGGGGGTACAAGGAGTGTTCTTGGACTGGAATGACAGGCCCCATGGTAGAATGACGGCCCCTGGGGGTACAAGGAGTGGGGACTGGAATGACTGGCCCCAGAGTGGAATGGCAGTCCCTGGGGGTAGCAGGAGTGTTCTGGGACTTGAATGACAAGCCCCACAGTGGAATGACAGCCCCTGGGGGTACACGGACTGGGGACTGGAATGACTGGCCCCAGAGTGCAATGGCAGTCCCTGGGGGTAGCAGGAGTGTTCTGGGAGTAGAATGGCAGGCCCTGGGGTTGGCAAGAGTGTTCTGGGACTGAAATGACAGGCTCCAGAGTGGAATGACAGACCCTGGGGATAGCAGGAGTGCTCTGGGACTGGAAAGAAAGGCCCCAGATTGGAATGACAGTCCCTGGGGGCAGCAGGAGAGTTCTGGGAGTGGAGTGACAGCCCCTGAGGTTGGCAGGAGAGTTCTGGGAGTGGAATGACAGGCCCCACAGTGGAATGACAGTCCCTCGGGGATAGGAGATGGGTCCTGGGACTGGAATGACAGGCCCCACAGTGGAATGGCAGCCCCTGAGGGTAGCAGGAGAGTTCTGTGACTGGCATGATATGCCCCAGAGTGGAATGACAGGTCCCAGAGTGGAATAACAGCCCTTGGTGGGTACCAGATGTGTCCTGGGACTGGAAAGATTGGCCCCAGTGTAGAATGACAGTCCCTGGTGGTAGTAGGTGTGCTCTGACAGTGGAATGACAGTCCCCACAGTGGAATGACTACCCCTGAAGGTATCAGGAGTATTCTGAGAATGGAATGACAAGCCCGAGGGTGGAATGACACCCCTGGGGGTAACGGATGTGTTCTGAGGGTGGAATGACAGGCCCTGGGGGTAGAAATGAGTGCCCTGGGAGTGGAAAGACAGGCCCCAGAGTGGAATTACAGCCCCTAGGGATAGCAGTAGTGTTCTACGACTGGAATGACAAGACCCAGAGTGGAATAACAGCCCCTGGGCATAGCACCACTATTCTGGGAATGGAATGACAGACCTCAGAGTGGAATGGTAGCCCCTGGGATTAGCAGGAGTATTATGGGACTGGAATAACCAGCTCCAGAGTAGAATGACAGCCCAGGTGGGTAGGAGATGTGTCCTGGGACTGTAATGATAGGCCTGGCATTCCACTCCCAGAATACTCCTGCTACCCGCAGGAGCAGTCATTCCAATATAGGGCCTGTCATTCCAGTCAGACCACTCCTGCTACCCCCAGGGACTGTTATTCCATGCTGGGGCCTGTCATTCCAGTCCCAGGACACTCCTCCTACTCCAAGGAGCTGTCATTCTACCATAGGGCCTGTCATTCCACTCCCAGAACACGTCTGCTACCTCTAGGGGCTGTCATTCAACTCTGGGGCTTGTCATTCCACTCCCAGAACACTCCTGCTACCCCCCAGGGGCTGTCATTCCACACTGGGGGCAATCTTTCCAGTCCCAGGACACATCTGGTACCCACCAAGGGCTGTAATTCCACTCTGTGACCTGTCATTCCACTGCCAGAACATCCCTTCTACTACCAAGGGCTGTCTTT